GCAGGAGTTGCCTGTGGCCCCTGCCTTCCTGCTGCCACCCCGAGTCCTGCCGGCTTCAGGGACACTCCCCACAGAACCAGAACTTACTGCAGCTCCTCCTGTTCCAGCCATGGACTTACACAGCACTGCCACTGGAAAGGAAACACCAAAATCTGCCTTGAATCTGCTGTGCTGCAGATACACACTTGCTGAGAGTCATTTCACACTCTGTAGTATTGTTTCATTGCTTCCAAAAAAACAATGGAAAAGTACGCTCAGACCTTTTCCTCCCCTTGTCTCCACCTCTCCCTAAACCAGGAGTGAATTAAGACTGATTTATAACAACAGAACCTCTACGAAGGCCTAATTACAATTATTTCATTCATAAATAACTGGTATATGAATGTGGATCTCCCGTTTCAAGTAAACTTCTACACTGGCAATTTCCACAATTCAAAAGGCTAAAACACTTGCAGGGTGGTTCCCTGGAATGGCAAGGCTGCCTTAAGTAATTAAAACCCCTAATCCCTCCCCCCTGACAAAAAAAACCCTCAAAGCAAAGCTGCAAGTCCCCGAAAGCAAAGCCAACAGCCCCATTTAGGAAACTGGCAATTCCACAGGAGCTGCCGGTGATGTCACGGCATTTATAGGGCGCCTGAGTCACAGGTTCCGGAGGAAGTGGCAACACCTACGGAATTACCGTATAAAAGTCAGACTTGGAAGCATGAAATGAGGACACTCACAGACAAAGGAAAAACCTCAAGTCAGATCCTCCCTATGCTAGAGGTTTCCTCACCACTAATTGAAGTCTGTCACTAGAAATTCATTTGGGTGCTCGCTGACAGCCCTCCCTCAGCAGTGAGGACATGAGCACTGGGGGTGGGGGGAAGATACTTACAGGGACAGAAAAAAGCAGATGGAAAGGACACCAAAAACTGCCAAAACCCAGAGTCCAAATGCATTCAGTGCAGCAGATGTGGAAGCTCTGCAGGCCTTGCTGTCCTTCCCAGTCTATTGACATGACGAGGAAACAATTCCAGCAGCATTTTTCCAGGCAGCTTTAGCCCACATTCATTTGATTTAGAAAGCAAAACCGTTCCAGCAACAAGATGCCAGCTTGCATTTCACATGCCCCAGATCCTGCAGCACAGCCTTGCCAGGATGCATCAACTGCAGCTTCTTAAGAGATGAGCATCATTAGAAGACCATTAGGACCATTAGACCAAAGGAGAAATTAAGGAAAAAACTACTGACCTTCTCTGTAAGAAGCAAACCAGAATAACGTCTCTCTTATTTCCATAGTGCATAACATTAGTAATTAATATTAGTAGTGAATTTCATTAACAAATCAAACAATGAATCATTCTGCTGAGATCTAGCAAAAATCAAATGTCCTGGTGCCAAAAAGAAAACTGAAGTTACACACAAGCCTGGATTTTTGGATGCTTGAGGGCAACTGAAGCAGCAATTCACAGCCAAGGAATGTAAGAACAAAGAGTAACTGGATGGGAGAGAAGTTACAAGGACTGATTTTTTAAAAATTGTGCTTTTCATTTGCAGCAGTACAGTGCTGTGCATATGCTTCTGTCCTTCCCTGTTAGCTTACCAAGATATTTTGTTGAGAACTAATTTGAAATTTTTAGCATTTAAAATGAAATGAGTGTGTGCATGTGCCTTTCAGTTCCAGAGACAGAGCCCATTGTACTTTATATTCAATGTCCTGTATAAACATCCACTCAAAGAACGTGAGGAAACAGGCATTTAGACTGCTACAGGACATGGAAGGAGAGTGTGTGCTCTATGCCAGCCAGGAAACAAAACATGTTTGTTTTTAGAACTCCTGATTGCCCCTTTTAGCTGTAAGCCCAAGGAAGTGCCTGCAAGAAGCTTCAATGGCAAGAGAACATTGAACAGAAAGAACCTCTGCTACTTCATTTGCAAAGTTCTGACAAATGACTGGTGGGTTTTGAAACTCTTTTCAGAAAATGTCCTAAATAATCCCACTGGATCTGAAAAAATGGATCTGTGGTGAAATCACAACAGGCAGATAATATTAATACTGTTATGAGGGCTGCAATGAGAACTCAAACTTATACATGGCTGGAGTAGTCATCTGCATACTTACCCTGGGGTGAGATCATCTGGGCTGGGGAATTAGGTGAAAAAATTGCTACCCTAAGACATGGAATACCTTAAGGTACTTAACATCACTGCTGTTGGAGAATATTGCTATTAATTCTTTGGGGAGGAGCTTCAGTTCTTCTTCCCTGTGCCAACCTCCTTGGCCAGGTTAAAATCCTCAAGTGACTCACGCCAGAGACTTCACTACGACCTGGATAGAATTGCTGGCTGGTGGAAGAATGCAGATTTCTGACTGTCAGCTCCTGTACTGAGGGGAAATGAGCACAAGCCACAGCCCACTTGGGTTATCGTGACATGATTTGAATACTGCAAAAAAAACCCAGGTTGGAACAACAGTTTGACCCAGGATAATTGAGAATAAACCCCATAGATATTCTTTGCCAAGTACTGTCAGTAGTAGGGGACAAAAGGGTATCAATAAAAGTGAAATGAGGAAAAAAAACCAATGTAAACAAACTGTTATAGTTTTTAATTCCAAACATGTCAAGTGCTGCACAGATAAGTAAGTGAACTTTTCAGAAATCATTACACTGGAAAGCTGAAGAGGCAATAGAGAGGGCCAGTCTAGATTATTTTCAAACCTAATGCATTACCTGTGTGGTGCCACAGTATTTTTACACACTGTTAAGGTCTAGCAGAGGTCCAGGCAGCTGCAGGGGAAGGAGAGCTGGAACTGAAATGGGACAGGTAGGCAGGTTTTTCATAGGTTAGGAATTTACACACTGCCAGGGTGGGACAGTCCAAAGTCCTTGTAGTGTAGTATTTCTGTCTTTTAAAACAATTAATCCAGGTGCTCTAAGAGAGAAAAGGTGCGTAACACCCTCTTGAGGGAAAGTTTCATTCTTCTGAAACTTAAAATATGCACAAGCACATCATCTGCACTGAAAATTAAATTAAAAAAGAAAGAGAAAAGGAATTAATGAAGTCACATCAAAAGATTCAGAAGAAAAATAGTAACAGGTTCAAGATATCTTCCAGACTGTTTCTTAGGAAGTCAGCTAAAGTTTACCATGTTGCATAAGGAACTATATAAAATAACCTTGTGGATTCTGTCACACCTCTCCAGGACTCTGTAAGAAACATGCACAGTTGTTCTTGATCACCATCAGAAAAGTTGGTATCAGCAACTCAGTGACCTCACACATTACTGGCCTAAACGAGAATTCTGGATGGCAAAGTAAAACCTCAGAATTCCACTGGTTTTACGATGTGACTTGAAAAAGTGAAGGAAAACTCAACAGGGAGTCAGGAACTGGGTGAACTCTTCATGGCCCAACATGGTCCCAGAGCAGTGCTGGGGCAACAGCTGGATTTGATGATCTTAAAGGTCTTTTCCAACCAAATGATTCTATGATTCCATCAGCAATAATAATTACATTAGTTAACATACATTTAGGAAGAATTAATTCAGTAAGAGGGAGAAACAAGTACTATGATTCTACAGTGCAAAGTTCAGAAATACATAATACCCATTTCAGTAAAAGTTATCTATGAGAGCACAAGTGAGAAAGTAAAATAGAGTGCTCATATATGGGAGAATTACTACATTTTGCTAATAATTCTGATGCATATATTTAAGGTGAACAGCCAAATTTTATACAAAGAAACAGAATTAGAATCATAGTTCTAAGGGGTTGGAAGGGATCTTAAATATCATCTAGACCCAACCCTCCCTGTCATGGGCAGGGACATACAGGAAGAGAGATAAGAATATCAAAGATGAGAACACAGAAATTTTAGTTTATATCACTTCTCTGAAGACACAATTTTCTCTGAAGACACAATACTGAAGCCATACAGAACACAAGGAAGGAAAAAGCATTTTTCCAAGCTCAATGATATTAAGGCCTGAGCAGTCCCTACATTTTTCTTTGACATGACAAAATACCTGTTGTGCTGTTGACTTCTACTGAAGCAGAATCTCTGTTTAGCTCTTGGGCATCATCAGCTTCCCAGGAATAGAACTCCTGTGGTCCCACTCCCTGATGACTTTCTCAACCAACCTGTCTCTGCTATCATGAATCTTTTTTCATGGATCTAAGTGAAATTTTCAAATTTGTGCCTTTTCTCCCTTACAGAGCCCAGCGTTGAAGGTTTAAGACCCAAACTAGTCACGCTCCATGAGCAGATTCTTGTGTGGGCTGAAGCAGGTACTGGCCATGATTCTCCCGGATCTAATGGTGTGGGACCATTTACATGGGACATAAAGGGCAAAGGCCTAAGGGAAATTTATTCCTGATTGACAGACTATGACACAGCAGACTGTGAAAGCAAGGATGAGAGTAAGTGAGGGCTTTAAGGAAGAAAAGTCTCACACAGAATCTCAAGTTCCTCACTTCAGTGAATGTGGCACATTCATGTGACAAAATCCAAACTCCAGCCAGCAAACACGACGAAGGGGTAACACTGAATTAAAATTCCAGTCAGTACAAGTGTGACATCAAAACAGAGGATATAATTCCATGAGTTTCTTTAATACTCAAGTACAAAACAACAGCTTTCCACTGAGATCCGTGCTCTTCTACTAACAGTATTAAATGGTCCCAGATGAGATATGGAGGTGTCACAGTTCCCACCTCCACAGTCCTATAATGCCATTACATTTCTGTTAGATAGTTTAGGAAGATGAGTAGGTTCCTCTGAGGTTACTCATTCCCTCTTACCAACAGATTTGTTTTACACCTGAAAAGCCACAGTAGCCGTTGGGTTCTGCAGCAAAAGTATGAGTTTGGGTTCTTCACTGACATCATGGCAGCACAAATAACATTAAAATCCTACCTCCTTCATGAAGAAAGGGAAAATTTAGCTTCTTCCATTAACCAGCAATAACTGGAGCTGAGGACTGTGCTGAAATCCTGTCATTAAGTGCATACAAGCCAGTAAGTAAATGTGTTTATCTGCTAACAGTATGTGAATGTGCATTCATTCATTTGAATGGATTCTCACAATTTCTCACTCAGTAAATGCCCAGAAACTGAGTAAAAGCAAAATAAGAGGAATTGCGGTCCACAAGGAGAAAGAAAACAACATTATAGTTAGAAAACGGAAGTTATTCCAAGTCCAACTGAAGTGTTTTTGAACATCAGAGACAGCTGGGGAGCATATGTGCAGGAAACAGCTCAGTCTCAGAGAGCTGTATGTTACTGAAAATACAGAGGTAAGGAAACATTACATTAACCCTGAGTTTTGAACCTTCCTGCCTTGTGCTCTTTTGCACTTAAACAGATACTTCCAATGCAAAGCTACAAGGTAACTTTAACAGGATAAGCAGAGTTTCAGACATTTAAAATAATTATTGATGTTTATCAGATTCAGTTTTCAGGTTTTAGATAACCAGATTCTGCAAAGGCATTCACGCTCCAAGGGTCAGCAACTCCAAAAGATAAAAAAGCAGATTATTCGCTTTAAACTACCCTGCTACCAATCCATGGCTCCAGTTGGACAATGGCATGGATAACAACATGGGAGTCATTTGAGCTCCAAACTAATTATACAATTTAACAAACTGCTTTAAAAATTTACATGGCATGTTATCAATCTCAGTGTTCAGTGCCTGACCTCCTAAAGATCAGATTGCTATCATTACTAGCCTTTCAAAAATATATTGCATTAATATACATTTTTATATTACAATGAAGTTAATTAAACTAGACACTACACTACATGAAAAATCATGTAAATATATGAATATAATAGTTAAAATAAGTACAAATAATTGCTAATTTAGACACTTGGTGCAAACCCCAGCACGTTTCAATAAATCTTCTTTTATGGTCAGAATATGGGAGTTGCAGATATCCTTGACCTGAATGAACTTCTGATGTGGCACAGAGAGAAGCTGTGAAATTCTCTACAAAAAATATTCAGAGCTTATTTTAAGGACCTAAATAATTGGACTGAGCAACTACTTTTCATAACATATGGGAAAGAGCGACTGCTTGGTAGATAAGGCAATTTGCACTTTTTCTTAGTGTTAGCCCATAAACCCCACAATATAAAGCTATAAAAGAGATTTCAAATATCCTTCTAAAACCTATTCCATGTTTAAAGCAATAGATTCAATTTTGTAGTAATTTACTTTGATATTCTAAAAGTCCTTTTCCTCGAGTTATCTGTTAAACTTGAGGATTCTCAAACTACTGTTTGTGCTCAGCCATAATCTCTGGAACCATTCTTGATGCTGTAAAAATGGAAAGACTTAAATGAATAAAAAAAAAATCTCACAATTGCTCCTTTTTAACACCTATAAAGTACTGGAGGTCCACATCCAAGAACAGCAAAGTCAGAGAACCAATTTCTTATTTCATTTAAGTATTTTTCTAGAAGTTTTGACTGAATCAGTGATCCACCCCCTAAAACACTTTTTTTTTTTTTAACTACATTAACAGAGCCTTCTCTGAACTTCAGGAAAGCTTCATCATCATAAAAATTGCATTCTGATCTTTTCTGTGCAAAGTAAGTCAAACTACATTGTTGCCATAGCACGAAATGATGAGATCTTTACAGAGAATAACACCTGCACTGACACATCAAGAACAGCTGTACTCTAAATATGTGCTTGGAGACAAAAGCAATGTGGTGGAAGCAGGAGGTGTGGGTTCTTCCCCACTCCCACCCTCCTTTAAAGATGAACTTTAATTCCCAGTAGCAGAACATGCTCAGTCTTAACAACAGATTCCAACTAAAGGGGCACAAATCTGGGAAAGATGAAAAAAGACATGCTGCTTTCACGTGTCCACTGACAAGCAAAATAAAACCTGGGACAAATAAACCTCCAAAGCTTATTTAAGCAGTGTATTTTATATGTAAGCCATATTTAGAAACTAACAAAAAAAAAAAAAAGAAGACCGAGTTTAAACATAACCACACTGCTTTAGTTATTTACGAAATAAAAATGAAAACATGGAGAGTTCTGTCCATAACAGACTGCTTTTAAGGTGAAGTTATTAATGTCAAAATGTGGATTATATTTGTATTTGCAGCAGTCAGAATGGGTAAGCAATCATTAACTTGTCAGGTAACAGATAAAGGCAGGGCTGCAGTCCAGGTCATCCTCCTCCTTATCCAGCTGATTTCAGATTGTTTCATCATCACTCATGTCCCAGATCTGCAACAAAAAGGAAGTGTAATTTTAGTCTGTGGACTTGAAATATGCTTTTAATATACTTTTATAAATTCAAATTACTATTTAAATTACTTTAAAAGGAAGAATAAATAGCATTTTATGAACTGTTAACTAGCACCAATGGAGCTTTCCATAAAATTCAGTGTTCTTCTGTTCTGTTAACAACCTACACACCATTAATTATTTGTCATCTTGGGATATTTTTAAACATATAATTTTCAGCATTTGTCACTTTGGGTATTTGCTATTTAGAATCATTTACAGTAAGACTTAGACCAAAAACCAGACATTTTGTTTTGGTTTGCTGACTCATTGGCACATACTTAATGTGAGTAATAACTTTTAATAACCAGCATAATCTACTAAACATCGGAGAAAAATTTCAAGACATCCCATACTTCACTTTACACTCAAATATTAATCTCATAAACAGCAGCTTAAAGACAAGAAGTTATATGGAAATTTGTACTTTTCTATTGTTTAAAAAAACTAAAAACTACAGATTTTTTTCTGCAGTACAACAGGATTGTACTTTTACTTTCCAACTTGCCCTTGTTCAGTAAGAGGTTATAGATGGGGGAAAGAAATGAGTATTTGCATAGACCATCAAGGAATCTGGTACCCTTGTGAACACACTAAGGTAAATGTTGGAAATTCAGAGCAGTTCCCAGGTAGCAGATTTGAGGGAAAATACAGGGACTTGCTAGCAGAACTATTCTGGGGGGAGTAACGTATTCTGAATATATAGCACAAGCTTCTTCTTCCAGAGAAATAGGGGGGCACTTAAGAGACTATGATTTTTCGGAGGTTTAGCTCCTGGCAAATACCCTCCTTCCGCTTGGCAGGCTTAGGCTCACAACTAAGATGGGTACTCAGCTTTGAGTTGGACTTAAAAATATCATAATACTAAGTTTATAATACATAAAACTTCATCTGTGACTTGGGGCATTTCAAAATTGCCCAAATTATCTGCAATACTGCTGGAGTACCATGACAAGTCTTTCTGAGTACAAAGAATGCAATTTCTAGAGCACAGAGTTTTCAGAAGAGGAGGAAGTCCCTCACCTGACAAAAGGAGCAGCAGCCCTGTGTCCCCGGGAAAATGAAATTTAGTTAATTTGTTCGAAAACATAACTTGTGTGTTGGCATAAAATTGCCAGTTGAGTTATTCTCTCATTTTACATCCTGACCACTAAAATATATCCAACCCCCCCCCCCCATAACAGAATGTGAAGTTATTTAGGTTGTAAATTCTTCAGGGCACAAAGCAGTATTTTACATGTATACAGTGCCTGGGACAATGGGGCACTGTTCTCATTGCACTGGATAGACCAATAAAAAATACAAATAACCCTGTTTCTAGACAGGCAACAATGCCTATTGACCTTTAGCTTTAAGAAATCTCTTTGAGAAAAAAAACGTAGTATTTCTGGAATTAAAAAACATTCTGAAAAAAGCTCTTCAAATTCAAACTTGGAAAACATAAAATCAAGCATTTCGCTGCTTTGCTCCAAGCTGTGTAAAATGAGAACTCCGAATGGTGAGAGTTTCTTGATTCCTAGAAGCGTTGCAAAATGGTGGTGTAAATCCTTATGGAAAATACTGAAGGAACAGTCTGTTTACAAAAGGAAAAAAAAAGTTTTCATCCTGCCCTAGATGAGCAGCTTGGAGCTTGCCAAGGCAAACACAAATGTCCAGCTCACCAGTCAGGGTCAAGGATGTGGAAAATAAATACAAACCCCAAAATCTTTAAATAGAGTTTATGGTATGATTCAAGCCAGAGAAAAGCAGAAATCCCAAGTTTAGACAGATAGTCCCTCTTTGTCTGGCCTACTCCAATCTCCTGGAAACAAAGTCCATAGACTGCAACCTTGACAAACACATCTCAGGCACAACAGTACAACAAATACTTTTAAAAATACACCATGAGGTGATTCAAAGGCAAAGTGAAAGGAGCCGACTGACAGTCCTAAAAAGTCTCCTTTATCTCCACAAGAGATCCCCAGGGAGTGGATCCAGCTCCTCCACTCCAAGCCCTCCCATCATCGCCCTGATCCAAGGAGTGGGGGTGAGCAAGAGAGCACACTCCCTGTTGGGTTATTTGTTTTGTAGAGAGAAAGGTTGTTCAGGTACCAGCTACATCAGTAATTTTGTGATAGGCAAATCCTTCCATGCAGGAACTGGTAGCTCCATGATTCCTGCAAAGCCTGAAGAGCTGTTTTACTCTCCCTGTCTCCTGTGCAGTGCTGCTCTGTCACCCTACCCAACCCAGCCAGCAGCTCCAATGGCACTGCCAGGGCTTTTCTGGGAACTAGAGGGCACAAAGTGCTTCCCTGAGTTTGCTGGTGTATGACAGGCAACCCAAACACATCCATGGCCTATTAGGAATATTTGCAAAATGACTGCAACAGATGTTCACAGGTATTTAACCACTACTCAAACATCTTGGACTGAGGAGGATTTTTTTTTAAATGTTTGAAAACTATGCTATTATTTCACCTCCAGGACAACAGACAGTTTTATAAGACAGTTTACACTTCATCCAACTATCCGAGCAGTCAGAACCATCAAACCATAGAATGGTTTGGGTTGGAAGCGACCTTAAAGGTCATCTTGTTCCATACCCCAGCCATGGGCAGGGACACCTTCCACTGGCCTAGGTTGCTCCAAGCCCTGTCCAACCTGGCCTTGGACACTTCCAGGACTGGGACACAGCATTGTGTGTCAAATCTTACTGCGGTTCATAAAGAACAAAGTAGAGGTACCTTAACAAATGACATGCAGAGGGAAGAGAAAACACGAAACAAAAGGGAAAAATTCAATACAGAAGTTAACAACTGCAAATTAACTTCAAGAAAAGCTACAGGGTATTGTGCAAAGGAAGTTGTGTGAGATGTCAATAGTGACAGCTGAATTATCACAGGCTCTTAACTAAAAGCAACTATATGTTTCATGAAAGACATTTAAGCTATAATAGACTATGACTATGCAAAGTGAACCTTTTAAGAGGGGAAATAATGAAATACAGAAAGCCATGAAAGCTAACACCTAAAATGACTGTCATGGCAAGAATCTGATATCCAAACCAAGCTGTTAATCTGGATTTTGTTCTCATTTCTCTGTCCTGAGCACACCTGGTGAGTCAAACCCAAACGCAGCTACAGGCAACGACAGGAGAAGTCACAAAATGGGAAGATAATAAATCAGCTGTCAACCCCACCCCAGCCTGCACAAATCTGGGCAGATTATCTGAATGCACCTGTTTCTTCAAATATGTGCTTTTATATTCAAAATTCTTTGTAGAAGTTCTTAAATTTCACATACAAATTATGCCTATTCAGGATAAGAGTAGAATTCCCACACTTGTTTTCTTGAAGTTACAAGCATTATTTTCCTAAGTAATAGGAAGAGTAGGGGGGAAAAAAACCTTGTGTATTAACTGTCCACAAATTCCCACTGACTGATTTTACACAGTTCCAGACTGTAGCGCTCAATAAATCCCACTGAATAGAGAGTTTTGCATTTCTTCCATACAACAATAACACCTGGTACCTGCAACTGAACTTCCACAACGGTTCCAAAATTGGTGTTCACCTACTGAGGCAGGTAGTGGCTTTGCATCTTGGAATTAACATATGTGATTCAAACAGATAACAACTGTTGATCTTATAAACAAACTTGCAAGAAATATAAATGCACCTTTAGGGGATTCTTAAAAGTTTCTTGCCTCCAAACTGCCAAACAAACAAACAACCCCCACACATACTATTTTCTACACACAACTGAGATAAATTTACATGCCCATGTACCAAAACACTCTGCTTAGTAGAATCTGGAATAGTTTTATTATGTAAACCACAGTGTTTACTATGTTAATAAATGCTTCAGATATGGTGAGGAGTAAAGAGTAAAATTCGTGGGCAGAGGTAAAGGCTGAAAATTAAATGTTACATCAATCAAACAGCACAGCTGAGTATCACGAGAACACACGGCTTCCCAGATCAATTAAGGCTTATCAAATCTTAGTTTGTGATTTAGAAACAAACAGGAAATTTAATGAAAAAAAAAACAATATATTCGAGCATCTGTTTAAATTTAAAGCAACTAAATTATTTTATAGCTATAAAATGCGAGCTTTTTGATAGATATGAGGTTAAACATGTTCTTGTTCTATGCTCTACCACAAAGACAATACATCAGAACTTTGGGCAGCCTAAATTACTTTACATCTTATGCATGGGTGGTTAAATGTACTTGTACTAGAAACGAACTGCACAGAGCAGGCTGCACGAACACACCTCACGTGACCTGTTCCATGTTCTTCTTGGTCTACTGGTTGCATCTTTCAGGAATGCCCAAAAAATGAAATTGCACCTTGAAATTCATTAAATACCTGCAGGTTCTAACCTGCAACTTTTTCAGACTTTACAGTATAGACCGAGGGGGATAATTATGAAGTTCAGCACGCTCCTTTCATCTTGGGTTGCACAGTGAGCATTACCCTTCATCTTGCCGAAACCCAAAACACTTCAAGCATTTTGCATATTCAACAATCCCTTCCCCATCTCCCTTTCCCACAGGAAAAAAAAAAGGTCATAAATGAACAAACAACATGAAGAGTGCTCTAGACCAACAGGAACATTTTCCTTTGTTCAGAATTTAGACCTGGCTGCATGTCAGAGCCTGCTCAGGTTGTCAGAATGTACTGACTCCACAGTCAGGTACATTCGCTGTCTAAGAACCAAAGGGATGCACTTAAAACAAGGATCCACCTGTGCTCCCAGTGCAAGACCTTATCCTACAACTATCACAGTAGTTCCCCCATGTTTGTTTTTTTCAGAACTGGCTTCTAACTTTGTATAATTAAACTACAGCTAGAGTCAGCTTTGGCTATAATCTGAAGAACTATCCATGAGATACTTTTTACTTCTGTTGACACACAGATTGCAAACTTAAATGCACAGAAACAAATTAAACTTAAA